AACAATATGGAGACAGGATGGTGTCCTTGTGACAGCAGCGCGACTCAGAGACTAAAACAAAGTTTCACCTGCTCGCTGACCTGAAGAGGCTACAGCTTCTCTGTGACCCAGATGTCAGGAAGGGACTCTGCCACTCTGGGAGCCTCCATAATGAAACCTGGTTGTTGACCCAGTTTAGGTCCCGACACATAAAAAGGAGCAAGAATCTTCTGCTGGGGCCAACACTTTCAGTTCTTCTACTACAGAACAAAACAAAGCAAAGGCTTCTTATATTATACAGACATTCAGGGCCCCCAGAGGATGAATCCTGCTGACTTCAGCGATCCTCTGACTTCCCTGTTAACATCTGTGGTTCACAGTGAAATATCTAAAGAGCCTCTAGATGGATTGGAATTGGATGCCCACAAGGACACGCTGGATCTGACATTTCCTCTAGTGCCACCAGCCGGTCAGAGTTTTGAAACTATTAAAAGGATTGCCACAATATTTGGTTCAGACATTCATCTTCCCCTCTGACTTTTCTGATTTATACCTGCTAAACTAATGACATTCAGTACTTACCTCCTCACTGCATGCTCAAGCATCCTTGGGCAAGATACTGAACACCAAATCGCTCCAGTTTTTCAGTTTAGGTGTGTGAATGTCAGTTTCTGTTTCTGATGAGCAGTTGGCACCTTAGCCTCTGCTCATTAGTAACTAAGAAGGACGACTAGAAAGACGCAACGCAAGTACAGACCATTTACCATTTACTTTGTGTTTAGTTCTAATTTGCAAATGTTAGCATGCTAACATGCTGAACTAAAACGGCATAAACGTACCCGCTCGACACGTTAGCTTTGTCTTTATGAGCGTGCTGGTGTTTGCACAGCTGTGCCTGCGTAGCCAACCAAAGAAGCTTTCTGTTATTGTTGCACTGGCGATTCTGCTTGCAATTAATTCTGTGTTTTAATTGAAACTGCAGTTTTCAGAGGCTGCAAACCTGAGTACAAAGAGATTGTGTAGCAACGCCCATTGCCCAAGATGTTTACTTTATGCATAGTGATGCAGGGTGTGTGTGTCACCTTGGTAAGAGCTTAAATATCTAAGGGTGATTAATAACATTCAGATACTGCAGATTGTTGTGCAGATGTTGTGGCAGTACTGAGTCCACGTTTCAGCTCAGGGAAACGAGCCGGAAACCCAGTTCCCAAACCACATAATCAACAAAACAAATATCCACTTGGAGAACAAATCTCACAAGTACTTTAATGAAAAAAAATCCTCCTCAGAGATAAACCAATAAACTTAAATAAGTACGCCTGCAGGCAGCAGCTGATTGTGGGGCAAAGGCTGCCCTGTTTCAGGCACTAACGGTGTCTAGGTTCACTCTGTGTTCAGTTCCAGGATCCTCAGTTTCTCTCTGTAACAGACAAGCAAGACAGCAAATAAATCTCAGCGGGTCCTAAAGGGCAGAGAGTGTGTCTGAAGAATCCTGCACCAAATAGTGGAAGGATCAGAATCCCCCTGGATGCTTAAGACGGGAATCACCAAACTGCTCTCAGTCAGTGTTCAGGAGTCAGCCCCCCCGCAACAGGTGATCTAAATGATTATTCTCTAATGAACCCAGAGGAATGTTGACACTGAGCCAGAATTCATGGGAAAAGGGAAATGAAATAGCAACAAATACGTAAGAATGAAGGACTGCTACACTGTGACACCAAAGAACCTTTCAACAGTTACTTTAACAGTTACCAGCAACAGAAGATGATCCTGCAGCCTGCTGCAAAGACTCCGGCTGTTTATTGTCTGTTGTTTATATGTACTGGTTTAATAAATATTGACTTTTTGCATGCTACACACACACAGTGGGTATTCTGATGGGAATTAACCTAATCTCTAATGTCACTTTGGAAAAACTGGTTTCTTTCGGAGTGGATACAATAGTTAGCAGGTGAACCTTTTCCCTCTTTTCACACACTTTAGAATAGACAAAATAAGATGGACATTAAATCCTTTTGGCTTTGAGTAAAAAGGCGTTGAATTGAAGCAGACGGTCTGACTCTTAATCAGGAACCAACACTAATGAGATGCTGAATTTTGCATCTCCAACTATATAAAAAAGGTTTAATTGCAGAAACACATGAAGCTTCAATGAACCTCTGCTAATGGAAGTCTGGCTGGAGGCGCTGTCAACCACTTTGGTCCGGACCGAAACATCACCAAAGCTCCTAGATGGATTCTCATGACATTTTACTCAGACCTTCATGTTCCCCTCAGGATGAACTGCAGAAAACTTTTCCATCAATACTAATTTAAACTGTACCAGCAGATGTACAGGAGGGTTTTAATGTTACTCTGTGACTTGATTTACAGTCATGACCTGTCGAGTTAAAGAGGAAAGCAGAACAACAGTACGAGCACTTCTCCCGTTTGCATGTTTGTCTTTGTTCCACCCCGGTTCTGTTTATACATAGCTAACGTTTTGTTTCACCTGCCTAGAAAAGGAAGATTTTGGAGGTGACAGCGTGAAAACAAATCTCATTTGAGTTCCTGTATCTTTATCTGAGCCCTCTGCTGCTCTTTTCCTTCCTGTGGTGGTCGTATAAGTTAAAAAATACAACATGAACAGGAGCTGAGTGTGAGTTTAAGACATAAGAAGTATGAAAATAGAAGAAAAAAAAAAAAAGGAGGTGAGCGGAAAGAATAAAACAAGAGAAGCTGGAGAGGAGAAGAAGAAAAAGTCACCAACATTATGTAACAGGACAACAAAGAAGCTCCTTGCTGACATTTTGTCTTATGAAAAGATGACTAAGTCGACCCATTTCCTCTTTCAGCGCCTGGCAGTTTGGACTCTGCTGTTAGTAACAGAGAGGAGCTTTTAACGTCCTGAGACACAGATGAGGGTCAGAGGCTTTTTTTTACCCCCACTGACTGTGAATATCACTGAGGCAGAGAGCGAGAAAGAGGCAGAGAGCGATGCCAAATGAAAGCAGCGAAACAACATTTTGTTCTTGTTTCTTTGCGTCATTTTCACATGTTCCGCTCCAGACTTTGGGAAATGTTTCCACGAGCTACAAAAGACAGATTGTTGCACTGAGTCAGCACAACACTGAACGTTACATTTGCTAATATCTCCTCCCTGGTTACACAAGCACAGTGAACAGATGAAACACCACGTGATGGGGAAGTCAAATAATGACTTAAGTGGAAATCACCTGTCTGTCTGATGTCAAAGGGCCTCTTATTAATAGACATTGCCTTTGACAAGAAAGGGTTTTTTCTGTTGATCAGTGCCACAAACATAATAAATCTACTTGTATCCCATGTTGTAAAACAATAAAACACTTCACTTCCTATGGGAGAGGACAGTTTTTATAGGAGTGTCTCCACTAATGCAGACTCTGACTCCTGCACTGTGTCAGCTTTTAAGGTGTGAGTGAAATGTTAAACAAGTCTTGCAGATGCTGCATCAAGATCAGCAGGCTCCTGTAGAGCATATTGAAACAGTGGAGTGGCGCCCTCTGCAGACCCAATCCAGAAGTGCTGAGCAGGAATGAGGTTTTTTTTATTGCCCATTCATTCCGTCCTAAAACTCATTTTACATAATTCACGTCATGTCTTTGAGAAAATGATTAGTTTGTCTCCTTTAGCCAATATGAGAAAGAATTTGTGTAGCAGGAGAAAAGGCCCTGATCGCAGCTCCAGTGACATCAAAGATTCTTTTAACCATCTGGCTACAAACATATTCCTTTGGTCTTTTGCATCCTAAAAGAACATTTTTAACCTGTTTCTCAAGTTGCACCTGTATTTTCTAATCCAATTAAACCCTTTTTATGAAACACAAGAAAAATATTTAAGTCAAAACAAAACTATGCTTTTTGTGTAATGACGTAGAAACTATGACACTGCAGCTACTGTGTATAATTTGTCATTTTTTTTAAATGCACATTTCAATTTGCAGTAGAAACGCTGGATCTAAAAAAAATAAATAAAAAAAAAGTCTAAATATTCCTAACAAGTTTTTACGCTCGACTGAAAAGGAAATGTTGTTACATTTCCCCAAAACAAAATGCATTAAAGTGCAATGGAAACAGACTGAGTGAGTAAATGCTGACGTGCCTAAAGCGGTGACTTAAAGTGAAGAGCTGAAAGCATCAGCTGTGTGTGGAGCGATGAGGAGGCTGTGAACACATGAAACTAACAGAGATTGAAACATGATTTCCAATATGTTCTCCAAAGTTTGAGCTTTGACTGGAGCTCTTTTAAGGACGTAACCTCTCTGTGTCCTCTTCTTCTGCTACGGTTTAATGGCAGCACCAAAAGAGTCCTGACTCCACCAGACCTCTGAAGATGTGCTGTGGTATCTGGCACCAAAACATAAGCAGTAGATCCTTCAAGTTCTTTATCCAGCACAGCCCACAGATGCTCAATTGGATTGAGATCTGGACGGTTTGGAGGCCACACCTTGAACTCGTCGTCGTGTCCCTCATACTGTTCCTGAAGCATTTTTAATTTGTGGCAGGGCGTACTCTCCTGCTGAAGGAGGCCATCAGGCAATACAGTTTCCATTAAACGGTGTTGTACATGTCAAAGTAACATCCACATGAACGGCAGGACCCAAGGTTTCCCAGCAGAACATCGCCCGAAGCATCACAGCTTTTCCTTCCTTCAGCCACAGTTAGACCGTGTCTAAGCCGCTCAAATCCTCACGCGTTACCTTTTTTTTTTTTCTGCTTCTAACACATCAACTCTGAGGACACAATGTTCACCTGCTGCCTGATATATCCCACCCACTGACAGGTGCAATGATAACAAGAGAATCAGTGTTTTTCACTTCACCTGTCAGTGGTCATAATGTTATGGCTGATCGGTGTATTCACTTAACAGAAGTGCTAACAAGTTAGTTTTTCACTTTGAAGGTGAAGTAAGCTAAGCTAGGCTAACAAGCTTCCACTAAAGAAGCTTTTAGTCCCTTTTGGTCACCATCACATGAACAAAACATGGCGCCGTAGTTTTATACATCCAGAGAACATTTTATTTATTCAGTTTTTAAAAACAAAACAAAAGCGCATTGTTTTTAAATGCAGTGATCTCAAGTCTTTGAGAGCTTCCTGTTCAGGTCTGAGAGCATCACGGGACAAGAGAGAGAGAGAGAGAGAGAGAGAGTCTAACAGGTGTAACCTTACAGAGAAACATAAAACTGTCTGATGCCCAGGAGCCGAGATGATTGACTACAGACCTCTGATAAACAGAGACGGGCCGTTAGCTGAATCATTATTTTCACGTCACCTAACTTCATGTTTTCACAGTGAAACTTTATTTAACGCGCAGTGAAGGAGCAGTGACGGAAGTCTTACCCAACATCTCTGCAGGAGACAAGTGTAAACATGGAGGTATACAAAATACTTTTATAAATACTGGCGTTCATGGCGGCAAATATAAATACAGAGTGTCTTCTTGTCTTCGAGTGCTTTTCAACCGTTTGCAGAGCGGAAGCATCAGAGGCTTTCAAAACCGACAGGAACATGATGGAGTATGATGATGCATGGCGTTTCCTGTTTTGTTTTGTTTTTTTGGATTGGCTTAATGATGGGGGTGCACGAGAGAAATATTCCCTGGCTGTCTATCCTGCCTGTAACGCACCTCCAGGAACAGAGGTCTGATGGACAAATCATTCGGGAGAGGAGGAGAGGAAGAAGTTGTGTTTTGGGTTTAAGATGAGAAAGAAAGAAAGAGAGGAGTGGACTAGAAAGCAACAGCAACAGACGTTATCTCAAAGTTAAAGTCACTCCTTATAAGACGTGACGGGAACGTGTTGCATGATTATAGGAAGGAACAACACACAGACACAAAGACGGGAAAAGGAGTGAAGCAGGTGAGAGGAGAGGTCAGAAGAAGAGGACTTTGGATCAAAGGAGTCTGTCTAATCTCTTCGTCTCACAGCCCGGTGTCGTTGTACGTGGGCGTGGCCACCTTCAGGATGCTCTGTGCGTTCTCCTCCAGCAGAGGGCGCCACTTCACCTCTCCTGTCAGCAGCAGGTCCTCTCCGTTCAGAGCATCAACGTACTGCATCTGCACACAACAAAACAGCCACATTCAGCGGCGCTGGACTCTTTTCAGAAGCTGTCCAAGCCAAACAGCACAAACAGGTTTAAAAATATAGCCGAAATGTAGCAGCCACCTCACTTCATTATAAACATGAACCCCGATGTTCTGGACAGACACATCGCAGACACTGACAGAAAGGAACATTTAGGATCATAAAAGAGGCAAAAAAAAACTACTCAGTTTGCATAAAGCAAATTAGAATTACTGCATGGTGGGAAATGTGGGCCGTTGGTACAATATTCTAACCTACAAACGAGAACTACTAATTATAGTGGATGGGCGGATTTTGACATGGGGCGGGGGGGTCAGGGGAAATCAAACTGCAGGAGAACAGCGGTGAGAGAAATCAATGAAAATGATTAAATATAGATATAAAAATAGAACAGACGCTGAAAGTATCGCTGCAGACGGCGAGCCGGCGTTGTCTCGGCGTGAGAGGCGAGCCTGCACGGAGCCGGGTCCAGAAAAATGCACAGATTCAAAAGAGAGCTATCTGCTGCGAGACGTGACAGTATATCCACACACTTGTGGATGGGAATGATTGAAATATAGGACCGTCTGCGGGGATCCAGCGATTCATGACTTTAAAGGAATATGGAACAGGGGGGGGGGAGGGCGGCACTTTAGTTCTACTACATTCGATGCTTCAGCCGCAACATCTTCCAGAAACTGCTGCAGAGGAGGCCAAAGGTCAGAGCGACTGTTCTAATATTCATCACGTTTTTAGGTCAATACTTTTGACTTTCAATCACGATGTGTTAAAAGGTCAAACAGGAGCATATGGGAGAAGGCCTGAGAGAGAAGAAGTGGGTCTGATAACATGTTGTTGAACCCCATCACTACCATTACACATCGAAAGCACTGTGAATAACAGGGTGAGATAATCTGAGCATCATGCTCTGTACCCTGTATAACATCTGGCCTGTTCTTTACACACTCTGAATAAATTAAATGCTGGAGGTGAGTTCAATGTGATGATAAAAAAAATAAAATAAAACTGTTGTTTTTCCCTTCAACTCGGTGAATAATTGTGACAGTGTGGGTGTAGGCGGGTATTACTCATGTTGTTGGGACATGAATCGGTCACATTTTAGGGACTCGCCTAAATTCAAATCCCTATAACGTAAATTTAGGGTGAATAATTGTTTTAAATTTAGAGTGCAGCTCCAGGGAATTAATGCAAATCAATGTAATATCCTACTAAAGTGATGGAAACACGACTGTGTGCGTTTCACCTCCTCAGCAACAGCAGGTTTCTGTGTTACACTTGAACTCCTGGCTGGTCGAGGTGGACGCTGCTTCCACGACCTTTAACACAGCTGCGTCTTTCCGTTTCTGCGTGTCGGTCGGTTCGTGCTGCTTCTGAGCCGATCAGAGTGAGAGCAGCGAGCGAAGAAAAGACGCAGCAGTAGGCGGACGTGTTCGGGCGACGAGTGACATCAATTTAAAGCGTTAAAAAAAAAAAAAAAGGGGGAGCAGAGAGGGCTGACGCACAGTTTACTCTCTGATTCTGTTTACAACCAGGATGAAAGGAAGTGAAGTTAAAAGGAGAGACGGGGGTCCTGGACCACATGGCCCCCGGTAGCAGATGGATGTTTGCAGGTGTTTCTGAAAGCAGGAGAGTGTTTTCAATCTCACACAGGGAAAGAAAATATACAGAGGAGAGAGAAAGGAGGAGGTGAGGAGGTTAGTGGGTAAGGTAAAGTGCTCAGTGGGGGCGGGTGAGGCGGAAATGGGCAGAACGGGAGTGTCGGGTTGCAGCGCCGATACTGACAGCTAACATGTGGTCCACTACTGACCAGGACTGGACTTCATCACATGCTTTCCTAAAGTAAAAGTATCAGAAACACATACAAGTTAAAGTGCTACTTAATTAAAAGTACATTAGTATTTTAAGCTAAATGTACTTCAAGCATCATATGTAAAAGTATTTGTTGTGTTTATTTGTGACTTTATTAGATTGTTAATACAGATGCATCAGTGTTAGAGCAGCATTTTACTGTTGTTCTTTAGATCCAGTTACCGGGTTTTAACTACTTTACATACAGTCGGCTAGTTTAATTTTGCTCTTTTAAATCACTGGCTGAAAGTCTGTTTTTAAGTTGTGACTCCAGGTTTCCTTTTATCTACAGTTTTATCTTCTCTTACAGAAGAAGAAGATAAAACTTCTCTTGTACAGATTTTGCGTTTGATTGTGCAAATCTAGCTCACCCAAACCTGATCTGCTCTTCTTCCAGAGACAGCAGAGGAAATAAGGGGCTAGGATTTTGGCAAAAGCAAAGTAAAACAGCAGGAACATGATTATTTTTGAAGAACACTGATCGCATGTATTTGTAATGCAGGAGGACTTTTACACACATGAATAAAGTCTGCAAAAATACATTAAGAGGTGACTACACAGCGGAATATGTAAACAAACACACCCACCTGTTTGCGAACGTACTCCACCATGAGTTCTAGCTGTTTGGGGTCTTCACACTGACAATTGAACAGGTTCCTCCACAGAGCTGCAGCCAGCACACAGTCATCAGACAGGATTCCCTACAAACACACAGTTACTGCGTTAATGATCCCGCATCATTACAGCACACACACGCTCATTCTGTACAACCACAGACATTAAGGTTTTATTTTTTTATATATTCGGCTCGAAGTTCAGCTCGTTCTGCGAGGTCTGACTGCAGAAATGGGAAACAAACAAAAGTTTCCACATCCACAGGAAACTTTTCAGGAGTCTGTTCTTCAGCAGCCACATTTCTATTGTACTTTACATTAAGTCTGATGTGGGAACAGATGCTTACGTGGCTCTACTTAACTCTGTTTTCACTGTTTGATTGCTCATTAATTGAATGTGAATGCCCTCAGTGTAACTAGAGTTGCACATGTCCATATTAAAGCTGGTAAAACAGGGATAACTTGGTGATGGCTGCTGGTTAACAGGAAATATATATATACGAGCTGTGTATTAAATCGTTAGATTATTTTATACAAAAACGTCCGAGAACAACTACATCGTGAATCTGGCTGCATTAAAAGTGAACACTGACATGGAGTCACATCCAGGATATTCAAACATATTCCCTCAGTTTTAAAGACAAGAAAATGGTTTTTATCTGAATCCAAGTACATGACATTTCAGACACATTCTTCAAAATGTTTTGCAAAACCAAAACTCAAGCGTGAACAAAAGCATCATCTCTCACCTCGTCATATCCAAAAATTGCCGCGTAAAACGTCTCCGTCATCGCTTTCATCCCTTCCTTTCTATGGATGGCATCGATCTACAGCATAAAGAAAGAGAAACTCAAAGTGAGGAGCAGCAGAAATAACAATGCTTACGTGCTGAGGGTTAGCAGGTGTAATGTTCACCTTGTTCGCCATCTTAGTTTGGCGTGATAACATTTACTAATTAGTAGAAAACACAAAGTACAGCTGAGGCTGGATGACATGAATTATTTGGGTATAAAGCAAAGTATCACAACGCTGACCTGATGATGGCGCTACAAGAAAAGTCATTAACGGCTGTCGAGACGGTTCACTCAAAACCAAAAATGTCAAGCTCGTGGTGGCAAGAGAGGAAAAGTCAAAGAGGCTGAGGCTCAGGACGTGGGCAGGTCATTGTACAGCTGTTCACCAGAGGCCCCACGATTCAAATACTTATCTCACGATACGAGATTTTTTAATTTATGGCAATTTTTTGTCGTTTCCCCCAACTTTAAATTGTGTCCCCAAAGGAAAACTCTTTTTCTAGTGGACTGAAAAAGCTATTGATTTTGTTATTATAGTACCAACAATTCATATAATAAAAGATCAATACTTGACATCTGTGTTTTTCCTCCACCCCTAGTTGTTAGAGATATTCCTCTTGAGAGGAGGGGCTGAGGGACAGACAACAACATCCAGAGGGGAGAGGTTAAAAAGGTACAGCGGGGTGCAAACAATACAGTGTTGCAGACACAAGAAAATAAATGAGAGAACAGCAGCTTAGAGCCGCGCTGGAGTCATCAGGGCCTTAGTTTAAAACGGTTTTAGAGAAGCACAGTTGCATGTGTCCCTTAGAAAAATACATTTCTCCAGTTTTAGGGGTTTTGTACTTCATTCCAGTCATTGGACATGGTAAATTTTAACCAAACTATTTCCCTTTGGATTTTTTAGTTATATATAATTAGAGGGTCTTGCATTATATCCAGATAGCGAGCCAATGAAGTATTCGTCTGGTATGCAGGGACGGCCAGCCTATGGAGGATTACAGATTGCAGTGATGGGTTTTGGAAGGGGCCTGATGGTAGAGTGATACCAGAGCACCCTTACATGTCATTTTGCAATTTTTGCATTTAAAATTACTGTCGTCCCCCCCCGTCTGTTACGGGGTGGAGCTGAGACGCAGCATGCGGTGGTGAAAAGAGGGGACAGCGAAGACATTGTAGAGTTTGGTTGTTGCGGTAATTAGGAACATGGAGAAAATGACCAGTGTTTTTACTGCTCCTTACCACAATTAGCATGAAACCTAAGAGCGACTCCAATCACTGGTCCTGGTCGTGTGTAAAAATACATTAGGAACATTGTGTGTAGGCTGTGTTTGGTTTACCAACGTGGAAAAGGTTACTACATCTTCATAGTTCAGCCTTTGAGGACGCAAAACAAGCAAACTTTTGAGTTTAGAGCCCTCAACATACATTCACAATTGTTTTATTATTACTGTTTTATATCCTCTCTCTTTCTTTACTTTTTTCCTTTTGTCTTTCTTTGCAATTATTTAAATTTTCCCCCTTTCAATCCCAATCTTTTTACTATTTATCTTCTTATTTCTGACTTCTTGTTTGGTGTTAGTGTTTTGACTGTTCATCGTATTGTATTCCACTTGTTGACACAGATCCATAGTGGCCTAGATAAAGAGAGAGCGGGTTAAGTTTTGTTGATCAGGATTTTTAAATTCGTAGTCACGTGTGTAGGCGTGTGCCAGCACATAGAGATATACACAAGTGTATGTACACATGCTGACAAAAGTTCACATATGCAGCTGTGAAAACACACACACACACACACACACACCTCCACCCCCCCGCTCCGTACTCCGCCCAATGCATGCATGCACACACACCAAGAGTGACCTCACAAACCACACTGTAATTTCTCATCTCTGACCTCTTTCTGTCACACACAAAGCAAAACGAGCAAAACTAAAGACCTCATACATGTAAAAGCTGCTGAACCTTGGCTCCAGTTCAACCATCCTGCTGGGTTAACATCATGGGTAATATAGGTTTGACTTTTTTAGTGCATAGCTGATTTTATAAATAATGTAAGTGGCCTTGTTTGTTTTTTTTACAAGCAGAGAGAAAATATGACCTTTCGAATTGAATGAATTTACCCCAAACTCCAGTTTCATCATTTCAACGGCCAACTATAATTTAAAAGTAACACTACTGCTGCGTCTGAGGCGTGGACTCGAGTCACGTGACTGGAGTCTGACACAAGTCATCATTAATCTGATGATTTTAGTCTTGACAGAAATCAGAAAAAGACAGCAATGACTCGTGACGCCACCTGAACTTTTACCTTTCATGTTTTCTTCCCAAACACAAAGTCGGATGTCGTTTGAATCTATTTGCCAGCAGCGGTGGCACATCAGGAGGAGAAAGGTGCACATCACCAGCACATTACAACATTCAAGTAACGCTGGCCGCACACTGGAGGGTAACTGGGCAGATTTTGGGGTACGATTCGGAGGGGGCGTTCCTGAGCAGAGGATGTTTGGTACAGATTATGGTAGCGTGAGGGGTTAACAGACAACTGGATCAGAGGCTCCCCAATTTCCAGCCTCCGATCAGAAACCCACAAAAGGCCAATGAGACGGAACTGAGTGGGAAGCCTCACCAGCATCTTGTCTTTTTCTCACGATAGAAAAATTTATAAACCTGCCGATTCCCTCTTCTCAGGCTCGAGTTCATCCACAGTTAGATTCTCTTCTTTTGTTTTCCTGTGCAAAACACGGCACACACACAAGGTCAACCAGCTGAAGTCTGAAGTCGCGTTTGATCACGTGAGTTTCTGTGAGATCCCAAGTCCCCAGAACCGCCACTCTGAGCCGTTTAGTGTAAAACGCCAAATGTATGGCCGTGCATCTGGACTGAACCGCCAAGTGTGCATTCTTAAGGTTAAAATATTTAAAATCAGTTCATGTCTGTGGTATCCCATGTTTTTTAAATTGGTTGATATTTAAAAATCCTTTACTGTGCACCAGAAATAAGCAGACTCATCATTTAAGACTTGGACTATTGCATGGTATTGAAACCTCCTGGCCTTGACTCAACGTACTGCTCACTGGACTGATCAATGAAGGCGACTTTGGACAGGAGGAGAGCTTCAACGTGTTTGCTCTTTCCCCTGAGAATAAATAAAACGACCCCAGATACACCGCTATCTGCATATATGTGAGCAAATGGATTAATAATGAAGTTCCAGCACATACAAGTTCTTCAGACTGCACATTTTATGTATTTTGACCCTTATTTTTCTTTAAATAAGCTGTAAAATATCCTGCCTCAGTACAATTATCTTTGTTGCGACTCTTAATGAAGTCAAACACAAACACAGTGTGTGTTTTCCCCCCATGAACTTTTGAGAGTTAATTCCAGTATATTCTGAGCATGAGAAAGTCTTTCAGAAAGCTTCATGCGAGCAGAGCCAAGATTTAAGTCTGTGATGTCAATGAGCGACACTTCCTGGAGCTGCTCCACTGACAAAGAATAGAGGAACAACTCTGTGGACACGGCGACCGCAGCCAGGCTCACTCTCCGGGGATTTGGCTACACTTTCTGGTTTGAGAACTGTTGGCACAATTATGCTGATGTAAAACTTTAAATAAACAAAACCTGCATCCTATGTAGCATGCAATGGCACGAATAAACCTTAATGAACTGTTGCATCAGCCCGAAGCGGAAATGTTTCTGAAATAATGAATAATTATTATATATAATATGTGTATTTAAGAGAATGACATTTAGTTGTTGTCAGGCACCAGTTTGGCAGCTGAGCGTTTTATATTTGTGGCTGTTTAGGGCTGCAGTCACACATGTACTTAAGACAACTGTAGTCCTCTAATTAATACAATAAAACATCTGTTAAACGTGATTGTGTTTTTTTTTTCAGCTGATTGTTTTCATTCTAGAGCAGGAAAATAATCTGCAACTATTTTCATAATCAATTAAAATAGAAAATCACTTTTTAATCGCAAAAAAACAAACAAACAATCTGTGATCCCTGCTTCTAAATTGTTAAATAGTTTTGTGTCATTGTAAACTGAATCTCTTTGGTCCTGAACTGTTAGTCGGACAAAACAAGACTTTTAAAGACTTCACCTTGACCATTTTTCACCGTTTCCTGATTCAAACAAACCGTTCAATCAATGAATTGAGAATGATCTCAGCAGAATAATCGATAACCATAATTAACGTTAGTTGCAGCTATAGTTCAGTCAATTTGAAAGCTTAAAAGGGATTTTAATAGCTCAGCAAAACTGAAAAATCAGATGTTCCAGACTCTAAATGGACCGAACGAGAAAACTTATTCACTTTGTGCATCAATGATTGTGATTATCTAAGCAGCACACTTTCGTTTTGCATAATCAGGGCAGGTTTTTGTGTTTCAGTTCCAATGAGACTAGAGCTCCAACAATGAATCAATTAGTTGTTAAGCTGTTAAGAAAGAGAAATCCTCTGATTCCAGATTCTTTAATATGATTTTTTGCCCTCCTCTATGACTGTAAACTGAATACCTTTGGGTTGTGGACAAAATGAGACATTTGAGGACGTAATCTTTAAGGATGCACCGATCTAATACTCAAATCTGACATCGGCCCGATAATGAATCAAAAACTGGATCAGGTAACGTCACAAGGGGGGCGATCTATTCATAGTTTTCCCGTGACATGCGCAGCAGGGGGCAGAACAACAGACCAAGATAGCGGCTCACGCCGGACTCCCTCGTAGAGACACCGCAAAAGCCCTTAAATTTTATTTGGATCACCTCTCAACTCAAGAAAAGCATAGATATGGACACAAACTATATACATATACATCCATATACAGCACCCGCTGCCATATTTCCACCGTTAAAACCCGCCAGGTCCCTGCCAGCGCTCGACTGTGGTAACGTTTACGTTTAATTTGTGGGGAATCCCTCACCTGACACAGCTTTATAGAACAAACAACTAATCGCTTAATAGAAATAAATAATTGAATGATTATTCTGCTTTGAAATAAGCGGTGCAGCCTTACATGAGCCCATATATGATTTTGGAGAGGGGGTGTTTATTTATAGCGGAGTCTCCCCTACAGCTGCAGTTAGCCTGGAGATCATTGACAGACAGCTCTTTGCTGTTTGTTTGTTTGTTTATTTAAACCCAGTTTAGACATTTTGGGCGATGCAATCGGACCAAACCGCTGATCTGCCATAAAATATTCACTTTTATTTGACAAAATATGCTAATAGAAGCAATCAATGAACAGAAAAAGACAATTCAATCGTTATTATTTGTATAATAATGAGTTCATTCACCGCGTCCCTGTCCAGCACTGACTGCGACGCTGCTGACCACGTTGTGTCTGTGGACAGCGTGGGTCACACTTTCCACCAGCGAGTGGAAATTATTGTCACAAGATACCGCTGGTTTCCAGACATCAGGTTCAGCGTGCTACGTTAGGCACGTGTGTTTTCCCGGGCATCGGGCTGTACGTGTCGCGTAATGCGTGCGTTTACGGTGGAAAGGCTGTTACTGGTTGGCTTCATCCTGCTGAGTGACCTGAAGCTGCACATGTAAACACACACACAGAGAACTTACCCCCATGATTTTGCTCCTCTGCTCTACATCCTCCCACATGGAGTGGACAATGTAGCGGCACATGTACTTTCCTTCTCTGCCCTCCTGACGCATCCGCACCAAACACATCCTAACAGAGGGGAGAACGGAATAAGGCGAGGAACAAAACTGGGACAGAGAGTTCGGATTGAAGGAGGAGGAAAATACGTGTGTGTAAACTCACCACACATGCAGCTGCGCTACCAAGAACCAAGAGTTGAGTGTGTCGGGGAGGCAGCACTCTGAAACAAACACACACACACCAGATTCTCATCTCTTCTTGCACAGGAGACATTTAAAGTCTGTTTTACAGCTTAGAGTCAAGACAAAAAAATGCATCTGCAACTATTGTTAATGCCAAACATTTCCATGTTACAGCTTCTCGCAGGTGAGGATTTGCAGTTTTTATTTGCCCACTATTTATGTTAAACTGAATATCTGTTGGTCAAATAAATCAAGCAAATCGAGTGAACCTCATTGGGCTGTGGGACATTATAATATGCTGATGTTTTACAAACAAAACGATTATATCGATACGAGGGGTGCACGATATATATAAAAGGCAGATCGTGGAATCTTTTTAATCGTCCACGATCTGCCTTTTCAGACAGATCGTTAGTATCGTGCTACAGTGCACAACCGGTCGTGCTCATACACACAGTTGACAGCTGCTCACTATTGGCCGTCATAAAATTAAGGTCGCTGAAGAACAGAAAGTGTTACGTGCTGCTAAAGTAACCGGGGCTAACTTGCTGCTACTATATAGTAAGCTCAGGGGTTAGCCTAGGGGTTAGCCTAGGGGTTAGCCTAGGGGTTAGCCTAGGGGTTAGCCTAGGGGTTATAGCTGACTCAGCCCAGACCGGGAGCTCGGAGCACCAGGGGGGTGTTTAACGTTACACCTCTACTCAGGCACTGGAGATTAACGCACATTCAGCGTTATTGGCTACTGTAAACGCCAATCAGTATCAACAAGTGCAGAAGCAAACAGCACATTCATGAGAAATCAAATCAATAAATGTGTATTAAAATCTTTAACAATGGTATTTGTTGTTTGAATTAATCTTTAGGCTACATTGTATACGATCAATAAAGTGTTAATTTTCTCTTTTAAACCAATAACTTGCAAAACGGTCTTAAAAAGCAACATGAAAACGAATCGTGATCCTGCCTAAAATAAATCGTGATAGGATATTTTTGCCATATAAATGACAATGAACCCCATCGTTAGCTGCAGCCCTTCAGCATTGTGTCCAATCAAAGCATCTTTATTTTGAGCAGCTGTTACAGAAGAAAAACAGCATTTTAAATGAGCCTGTGCACCAGTGACGGGTCATTTTTACCAACATGGGATTTCAGATTGAGGAGGTGAAGAAACAGCAGATATCTCTGAACCATCAGCCTTAGTAGCAGGTTTAAAACTCAGTAGGATAACAGGCTCCAAGTCTGTGTGTGTGTGTGAGTAATATTAGTGAGCAAGTGTGCGTTTGTGTCTGTGTGCCAGGCAGTTAAGAGTCAAATAAATGTGTCAGGCAGGTGATGACGGTGTCCCTGAACGCCCATCAACTGCATTTGGACCAGGACGACTACCAACGCCTAAATGTTCAGCGTTTAGATCAGGACTAGTACTGAAGAGTGTGTGTGTCATTTTAATCATTTATTTTCCAGCTCACTATTTATTTACAGTGTATTTCCTCTCCTGCATTTCAAACATGCATGCTCACAACATTCATCTAATTTAAAAGATGTTCTCATAAACGGGACGTAAATCGACGGCGCTCGGCCTCGCTTACATCCGTCTTCCTCCAGATCATTACGGGACCTGATTCACTTTAAGAAAACATGGCTGTTAATTTCACTAGTTCTTTGTTTTAAAGCTCGTTTTGGTGACAAGCAAATAAGAGATTATACACGTTTAGTTTTATTCCATTTCCAGTCTACCTTTGTTATGATATTTACTTGCTTTGTTTTGGTGATGTATCTGACTTGGCTGCTTTAACACTGAGATCTCCCTTCGGGATTAATAAAGTCATCAATCTTCCTGTTTGTCGATTTGAAGTTGTAGATTTGAACAGGACTTCATACTGTTTAGTTTAGCTCTCTACACTTACTTTCAAAGAAGTCGTCGTAATTGATTCTCTCTACACAGCATGTGTACATGCGCAAGGCAGCAATCTTGATTTTCTGTGAAGACAAAAGGAAGGAAATCATTACAATCTTACACACACACACACACACACACAAAAAACTATTTTACTTGAACAGTTACATTTTTGGCTCCATTTCCAAGTTATTGGATATATACAGAAGGTAGCCATGCAATATCAAAACATTTCACTTTACAGAAAAACCCTTTTTCCCCAAGCTTCAATTTTTCGCACAAAGACATTTAAGACCGCATTAAAAAAAAAAATATTAACAAACTATTTATCATAATGATATTATGGCTGGGGCGGTTCATCGCCATAATCGATTATGTAAATACATCGAGCCGCATTATGTGCGTCAAAGAGTAGCTGCATCCGGTGTTGGCAGGGATTCCCCTGGAGAAGCTCCAGCTATAAGACCTCGCGCCTTCGACCGGTTTTAACATGTTGGCTATTTGGCCTGAATATTGTTGATTATTATTTTTTGATTGTTGTTGTTACTATTGTTATTAAAAACATGGAAAAAACACATAATTGAATTTCAAACAACATATTAATTACTTTCCCAGGTAAAAAGCCATGTGAAAAGCAATTATATTTAACTAATAAGTGAATGTTCCTCCCAGAAACTATGTGTGAAGCCAGATACGGTTTTCTTGGATGGGGCACTTAATAAGATTTTGAGTATTAAACACATAATTTCCTGCATTCTGGTGAAAATGTCTGCTCAAATTTCTGCCTTTTCTGCACCACTGTATGGTGGAAATGTCTTATTATACAAAGGGAAACACAAAATTCAGGTGGCAGGTGACAATTCAAAATATATAAATGATGTAGTGAGGCGCTCAGGCATTCTTTATTGCTTTTAATTTTGACAGCGTTGTGTTGGACAGACTTGTGCAGCTGTGTTCAAGAGTGAGCGAGCGAGAGGGATGTGCTGCGCTCTGCAATGAAATACCAGTTTAAATAGGCCTAGTAAAAAAAAAAAAACAAAAATCTATATGTGGAGGTCAGTGTCGTGGCGGGCCGCCACAAATAAATGAACGTATGAGAAACACTAGATCAACTTATTTAATTTCATCCCTGCTGAGTCAACACACATGAGTAAGTCCTCCTCTTTTGTGTCTTTTGCTACTGTTGTCATTACTCTAATGTGCTTCATCAGGATGACTGAATAAAATATTGATTAATTGTTTAGACATGTTTTTGATATTTATTTTTGGATAAATTGATATGTTAATAGAGTAATAGGCAACTTTTTTTTTTCCTTTAGAATACACAAAAATCAGTTGTTAGAATAATCGATTTAAAAAATAATCATTATGTAGAGCCATAAATCATATTTATACTACGTGTGTGCTCATTCTGCCTCTGTGCAATTATGTTGTGAAACCGGTGGAGGACTGTGGAAGTGAAGACCCTGGTATTGTCAAAGCGTTTTAAACACTGATCACTCATTTCTTGTAAAACAAGTTGCTGAAGCGGCCGCACATCAACACCGGGATTTCTCCCGGTGTTGCTGGTGGCCGTCACTGTGCGTGTCGATCTATTTTTAGGGGGAAGAGACTAAACTGGTCGCACTGTAGAGCCCTGTTAGTGTTTGTGTTTATATATTTATCCAGGACAGTCTTGTTTCTATCCATTTACACAAGGCAAAGAAATGGAAAACAAGTTTACACATTTAGCCTCTTATTTTTTTTACCATTTTTTGCTTTTTAAATATTTTTTCCAGGATGTCAGGGTATTCTGTGCTTCTTTGATTGCATCCATAATGCTGGTAGTTGCAGCATCTTAGTTGGCTGCCACAAACACGGTGCACAAACCGAACTGTAACAACTTTTTGGAGAAAACAAGGCGGCAACACAACCCCTCTGAGAAAACAGGACATGAGGTCAGAGATGTGTAACTGCTCATGCCAAATGTTGCCAAGCCGGCGTGCAGCCCAACACTTCGCTAGATGACACAACAGCACACATTCCTCTGCACATACGCCACCTCTTTCACCCTCCACATAACCAACCCTTGCTGTGGCTGTTCAAGTTTAAGCTTTACGGACGTGTGCAGTCTTGAAAAACCAAAAAAGGTGTGATACAGAGGATATAACAGACACATCCCTAAAAATCATTAAGTTTTACATAACGCACATCGCTCTGTTCAAACACACCAGACCCCTTTGACAAAAACAGTGATTCTACCTCTCTGGTCGACCGCTGCCTCGATTGGATAGTTTGTGTTATTGTCAGACTTTTAACCCTTTTAAAACACTAACGTCACACAATAACAAACAAACATGCCAGAGTCACCGAATAAGACAAAGACACTAACCGATTGAGGCGGCGGTGAACCAGCAAACCCCTGTGTCCGGCGAAGTAAAATGACTGTTTTTGTCAAGGGAGTCTGGTGGATTTAAACAGAGTGAAAGAGCTGCTGTTTCTGCTTAAACAAAAAGGATCCATCTCTATGTTTCCCATAATGTTACCAGACACTTATATCAACAAATACCAAAGTTACCCTTTAACATGACAAACACTTAAAGCTGCAGTGCTCTGATATTTATCTTTTAATAACTGACAGGGATTATTAAACCTCCCCCCCCCCACTGCTTCTTGTTTCAATGCCTCCCTACCTGCAAGGTGTTGCTGACATGTTTTTACTCAACCGACAGGTTGAATCAGGATGAAGGTGCAGCAGTTATTATATGTAAATATTTTTGCACCACACTCAGGACATTACAGTCCCTTAGGCAGCGAATGCAGCTGCCTTTCATTGATGTTACTTCTTGACTAAAAGTAACCTTTTTGTGCACATTATTGTTTTTTTGTTTTTTTTTTACGATGTTGACACTTTAATCCGTCGTGCAAGAATGCAAATTCAAATCGAGTTAATCCAGTTCATCCCCAGCCCTCCCTCAATCCTTCCTATACCGACTTCCTAATTATTACGGATGCACCGAATGTTCGGCATAATAAGTCAAAAGACCGAATAAATTTTACTGAACAACTACGTTGACGTGTCGGCAGTGTGGAAGCACTTTAAATCACCTCGTCCTTATTTTAAAACCTCGTTCCCTAGACCTCTGCATCTCCCCTCCACCTCCCCCGTCCTTCATTCTTACCCTCCGTGTTAACCTCCCCCTTGCCACCGTTTCTCACCCATTTGTTGTACTTGAGAGGTCCAGTGAAGCCCATGGCCTCAATGAGCTTGGTGAAGGCCCCGACTTCCTCCTCTGTGTGCTGGGGCGTCTCCTTCACATTGTAGAGCTGACGGACGACAAACAGAAAAACAGTGAGGGGAGGACGAGAGAAGGAGGGAAAGATAAGGGACGGAAGGAAAGTACGAAAAAAAGTTGTTGTTGAATAACGATGGGGGGGGGGGGGGGGGGGTAATTCACTGTATAACCCTCATTAAATCCACAGCACATACAGTTTCAGTATGACGACACACACCTGGGGAACATGGCCTTTACTGGGCCAGTGCAGCTGTTGAGTAAATTAATTATAGTGACCTATTCTAAGCTGCGTGCCGTCTTCGTGCTCTGACAGCTTTATTACTGCCTGGATGACCCCGGTTGGCCTTCATCAGGGCTCGCAGAGGTTTGGCTTCAAAAGGACTTTTTCTAGCTGACTTTTTGCCATTACAAGTTTTCTATATTGAGCTCGAGGCTAATTGCTAAATCCACTGCTGTATTTGAGCGAGGTGCATCACCATACGATTTGACTTTCCGTTTACGTTTGCACACAGCACTGTTACACGGTGGACGAGTGAATACGACGTGATTTGATGCCACTGATTGCAAAATGGAGGAAGAGAGAGAAAATAGCGAGGGACGAAGAACGTGTCCGTGTAGTATGTATGGGATCATCTCAAGCTAAAATAAAACAGCAGCTCTGTACAGCGTGCCTGCTGTAAAACAGAACCAGCCAACCTTAACAGCATCTGAACAGAAAGCATCCGCTGTACGGACCCGAAACAAGGTAACAATAACGTTTACTGAAACCATGACTGCTGGTTGAGATGACGGCTAACAAAGCTAAGGCACAAATGTATAAACATGCGTTAGTTAACATTACAGTGACATTAGTTACACAGCTGATCCCGTAGTGCAGGACTTGAAACTCTGCAGTTTGTCATTTTTCTTTTTACTCCCAGCTTGGAACCTCACAGATCAAGGGTGCTAATTCAGCTTTGAAGGTGAGGGTGTTGAAATTCACGGCAGATGAACTATGTAGGGGATTTTTATACGCAATCCCCCGATCTCATGGGAAAGAAAAGAACTGGACAACTTAACACGAGCTCAAATAATAACTGTTTGCTTTGCCTTTGTAGACGTCAGACATCAGCAGCTTGTGTTTCCACTGTGTCCTCACAGCAGGGAATAACCACGCCAAGCCATGCTGCTCTGGTCCCGTGACGGCCTCCTCCCTCGAGCCGAAGCTGTGTCTTGTTCTAGACTGATAGCTAATGTGTGGAGCCGGTGCCGGTGACTTGAGAGACGAGGATGTTTTCACAAGTTTCTCTATGTTCGGCTCTTACTACTAACAACAAACACCTACCAAAATGGACGTGAACATGCTCAAATGTAACATTAGCTAGTGGCAGAGGCAAAGAGACCAAAGAGGATGCTGAGGAAGGTAAGAGGAGAGAGACAGAGAGAGAGACCAAGAAAGAGGCTGCCGGAGGTTGGCCAGAGCTTTGTGAGATCAAAGGCTGCAGGACAGACGGCGAGCTGGACTTCTTTCTGATGGACTGGTCAGTAATGTCGCTGCGTCTTGTGCTTTCGCACTTGCTTGATGTTTGGCTGTTGGCAAAGTTGGCGACTTGCAAGTTTCTGATCGTAAAGTAATCTTAACTTAGCATTTCATTTTATTATTTACAACAGCCCTGAATTATACTCTGAAACAGAAGCTGTGCCAAATCACACACAAAACAAAACATCTTACATAATGTCCTTCCACTGGGAGGGGAGCTGGTAAAGAAAAGACTGAACTTTACATCCAAACAACTGAAGAAATACGTCTGAATCATACTGATCAAATTTGGGCTACATTCACATTTGTACACTTTCTAAGATATGTTTGCACGGATGGACAGTAAACGTATTATTATTATTATTAACCCTACACCTGTGTTTTCCAGATCAGAGTCCCGTTACCTGTGCGGTCATGTGCAGAGTCCGACATGGTGTCAAACACGGAGAGGAGACTCTGGCCAGTTGGCAAGCTACCAAAGCTCTGGCAAGACAGGCTTCCTGATCCAACACCTAGATGGAGACAGAAGGAGAGACAGAGATTAGGCACTGAGGTAATGAGACATAATGAACTGCTGACATTCACAAAACCAAGAAGCTAATCCTTGTGGCTCTGAAGTTGAGTTTCACATCTTTCAATATCGATAATTATCACGATAAGTATAAGATCGTTATTTCTATCGAGTTTAAAGGCTGATTTTTGAGTGAAAGTTGAAGAAACCTGATGGTTAATTGGGGTCTAAAGTTTTCTTTATGGTCAACACTTCATGCCAAACAGTGGATCACTTCACAAACCTGAGGCAGAACATTCAAAACTATTCTGATAAAATCTTTGTTAACAAATATGCACGAGTAAAATTTAGTTTTTTTCAGTCCTTTTCCTCAACAAAATCAACATCTTAATAAAGTCAATGAAGTCCTAATTTGTGTATGATTCAAGTGAATAAAATTTATTGAAGATTTATTGAACATCTGTTATATTGTTATTAAAAAATATTTATTGTGATAATTATTGTTGTTGTTTTATTGGCCACTCCTACATTTAAGTCACTTTGGTGACGTTTACGTGACCAAAACAGACATTTTCAGATATAAAATTAACAATTAAATTAAGGTGGTCTGTTCCTTATTTCACTGTAGAATCAACAGATGACCAGCTGGTTTTTCTTTCTTCATTCGTTGCCTATTTAATTGAAATATCATCCAAATAAATCTTCCGCGGGTGTATTAACAGGCTGGGACTCGTGAAGAAATGTGTTTTTGCATCAATTTTCAAGGTTTCATTTACTTGAACTGTTGCAGAATAACCCAAGAAAGTAAAGACAAAGTTTAGGTCAGCAAAACAGAGAAATAATGTAAATTTAAGAGATTTACAAATTTTCAGGGATCAAGTAACAAGTTAACAACTTAAATTATTCTTGAACCCACCTTTAGAAGCTTCGTTTTATTTTTTAAAAGGCAATTAATGAAGGAGGACAGAAAAGCTGGTCATCGGTTGATCCTACAGTGAAATAATGAACAAAACTCCTTCATTTAATTGTTAATTTCAGATCTGAAAATGTCAGTTTTGGTGATTTTTCTAACTTTGGTAGTTTGCTGCTTACTTTTGTTTTGTAGGTTTTTCAAATTTAGATTTAGGGAATGAGGACAGAAGCTTCATCAGTTCCACTGGCACAACTGAAATTAAAAACCCTGCGTCCACTTCTCAGAAGCGATTCATCTGTTGACTAATCCATTAGACGATCGATAGAAACCTACTCTAGTATCCATTAATCTTTTCAGTCAATTCCAGTTACAGCTTCTCCAACGTGAGGATGTCCCACTCGTCTCTGCTTCGTATCACTGTAAAGTCAACATCTGTGGGTTTTGGACTGTTGATCAGACAAGACCTGTTAAGATGTTAATTTGAGGTTTAGCATATTTTTAAGGCAATTCATGATGGAAGACAGACCATCATCGATTGATTGAGAACAAAACACTCATTTAAAATGTTAATTTTATATCTGAAAATGTTTATTTTGGCGACATAACTTAAAAACTAGAAAAATGGGGATGTTCTAAAACTTTGGATGCTAGTGTTTACTTCTTGTGATATTAATATTTACTGTGTTGTGATGCATTTTATAGAAAACAGAAGCAGAAGATATTGATACAGGTGTCTTGCTCAGGACACATTGGTGTCTGACAGTGGATTCGAACCCGATCTCTCACAACAAAAGGCACGTGTCTCATCCACTGCCCCATCACCACCATTCCCCAACACAGCCCAGTTGAAGCCACACAGGAAACACTAACCTATTAAACTGATAGCTGAGTTGGTGTGGTTTGGTGATAACCCTGACACACACACACGAGTCCTCATAAAAAGTAAAAAGTTGTATCTTTGATTTACTGTTTTGTGGCGTGGAAGTAAACTTAGCTTAACTTGTATGGGATCATAGTCCCCTGGTGAAATGGTTATGTAAATCTGTGTGTCATCTGCATAATTATGGTAACATAATTTGTTGTTTTTCATAATCTGAGCCAGTGGAAGCATGTAAATGTTAAACAAAAGAGGTCCCAGAATGGAGCCTTGGGGAACTCCACATGTCATTTTTGTCAGCTCAGATGTGTGATTACCTATAGACACAAAGTAGTCCCTGTCCTTTAAGTAGGATTCAAACCATTTTAGTACTGTGCCAGAAAGTCCAACCCAGTTTTCAAGTCTGTCTAGTAATATGTTGTGGTCGACCGTGTCGAATGCAGCACTGAGATCCAATAATACTAAGACTGAAATTCTGCCACTGTCAGTGTTTAAATGGATGTCATTGAAGACCTTAACAAGAGCCGTCTCAGTGCTGCGGTGTGGTCGAAAACCTGACTGGAAGACATCAAAACAGTTATTTGGTGCCAAGAAAGCACTACAACTGCAGACTTACCATTGCTTTTTGTGTCAGAGGTCGCACGCCTCTGGAGCAACTAAAGGTTAAGTGTCTTGCTCAGGGACACATTGGTGTCTGACAGTGGATTCGAACCCGGTCTCTCACAACAAAAGGCACGTGTCTCATCCACTGTCCCATCACCACCATTCATTATTATCATTAGGATTATTAGTTTTACTTTAACTGGAGGTTGATTTACCCTCTAAAAAAAAAAACTTTAGAGTTTAAATCAGATTAATTTCAGATCAGAGTGTCCAGTCTGGGTTTGAGTAAAACCAGGTCTAAGACAGTGACTCCTCAAGTTCAGGTTCACCTACACAGGTAACACGAACCTTTTAAACTGATGTCCTCATAAAAAGTTGTATCTTTGATTTACTGTTTTGTGGCGTGGAAGTAAACTTAGCTTAAATCCTATTAGCCGGCTATGCTAACGTTAGCTTCTCACCTTTCTGGACGCGGACGCGTTAAAGAGGCTTCTGACGGCGGACTGCAGCGGCCGCCGATACATGACTGCCGATTATCAGGGCTGAGAAGCGGGCTGCCACCAAACTGCGGCTCCCTGCAATAAAACCTGCAGGTTTGGTAACACCAGTCAAGTCCCCACCTCCTCCTCCTCCTCTCAGCAGCGGCAGCAATGTCAACGGAATCTGTCCGGCTCCCAGTGGTGTCCGGTGAGAAACAAGTCCAAGGTAAGAAGAGTTCCGCTTGGACACAAAGCTGTTATTAATCCTGATTATTGAAGTTCAAGTTCAAGATATAGACCGTGTGGTTCAAGTTCGTTTATCATCATTCAGCCACATACCGAGTGTGCAAAGACAGTTTCTCACGGCCCAACAGTGCTAAAAACAAGATCACAATAATCAGCCTGCAGGACGAGACGCTCTGCAACACACAAAACAGCAACTGAGACAAAAACTGCAAAAAACAAAGACTGTTACTGCAAGACAGACTGAACATGGAGGGGCTGGAGCATCACACAGTGCCAAGTATCTGAATATATGCTTAATAATAGCAGCATCAGAAGTACATTTGCTGCAATACTGCTACTATTTATTCAGTATCACTGTCCAACAATTATTTTAATATTTAAAAAGTAAATATTTTCCACACTCCTTTATATTTTCTTTGTATTTTATATTTTTACTCTGATATTTATATACTTCTTTATATACCAACTTTCTATTATTATTTGTATTCCTTTTGCATGTGTGAATCTGTGACACATTATATCCCCTCGGGGATCAATAAAGTATTTCTGATTCTGACTTTGACTGTAGCCTACCGTCGCCTATAGTAGCAGGGCTTGAATAATAACAAGGAGTAGGCTACTAACAGTATGTACAGTGTGGAAGTGCCGAACAGCAATTATCATTTAACATCTGCTTAAAGTAAGTCCAGTGTTCAGCTGTATTTGGTCGCTCCATACTAACTAGATAGTCGCTTACATTTGCTGTTAGGTGCTGGGCATGCAATGTACTGTGCTCAGACACAGCAATACAGGTCAGTAAATATTCAGGCCAAAAAAGCAAAATGGTGAGTTAAAAGAGGGTTAAAAGCTCCACAAACATGCTGATTTAGGTGATAATTCTCTCTGCATCCATCACAACATATTAGCCTTTTCACATGATCACACAGTTGTTAGATTTAATGTTGATGTTGTCTAATTCTTAATATTATATATAATATAATGTAGGCTATGTCATTTTAATGCAGTCTCTCTTCTCTTCTATGAAAGATTTAAATAACAAAGAGTCAGTTATAGAGCTACTCCAGGGCCACAGAGTAAGCAGTGCCATGCATGGCTACCTCCACAGATTGTTCAAAGCCATCCAGCTATTCAACTGCTTCCTGCTAAAGCCCTGAGGCCGACAGTCACAGCCTGTAATGTATTTCTGCATGAAAGATTTGAGAATAGACGATCTTAGTCCGGTTGTGTACAAACTCTGACAGATATGATAAGTCTCAGACTGAAACCTACACGCATGGAATATTTCTGTTCTCGTACACAGTGTTTTGTGGCTTTTGTTATTAAGGACAGTGATTCATGCCTACATCTTATAGTAATTTAAACATGGAGCATATATGTGGCATCATGTATGTTGACCAGAACAGGTGAGGAAATGTTTTACGTGTCCCTGCATCAGTCTCTATTTTTAATGTGTCTCATTTGTGTGTGTGAGTGTGTGTCTCATGTTTTTACATCCTGGTGGGGACTTTAACCTGACTGCACACTAACCAAGGGGGACTCGTGTCACCGTGGGGACCTCAAGGCAAGGCAAGGCAAGGCAAGGCAAGTTTATTTGTATAGCACATTTTAACAAGGTAATTCAAAGTGCTTTACGTAAAACATAAAAGCAACAGGGAAATATAAAAAAGTTTAAAAGCAACATAAAATATAATAAAAGTTACAGTGTTACAATCAGGGTTAAAAGAGTTAAATGGATAAAAGCAATGATAAAAAGCTAAAAACAAAGAACAAGAAAACAGGACAGTCAAAGTTACAGTGCAGTGTAAGTTATCAATAAAAAGAAAAATCTTAAATATTTAATTAAAAGCAATGGTAAAAAGAAAAGTCTTCAGTCTTAATTTAAAAGAACTGACAGTTTCAGCAGACCTGCAGTTATCTGGGAGTTTGTTCCAGATATACGGAGCATAATAACTGAATGCTGCTTCTCCTTGTTTAGTTTTGACTCTGGGGACAGAAAGCAGACCTGATCCCAGACGACCTGAGAGGTCTGGATGGTTCATAACGAGCAGAAGATCAGAAATGTATTTTGGCCCTAAACCATTTAGTGCTTTATAAACTAACAGCAGGATTTTGAAATCAATTCTTTGACAGACAGGAAGCCAATGTAAAGACCTCAGAACTGGAGTGATGTGATCCACCTTTTTGGTCTTAGTGAGGACTCGAGCAGCAGCGTTCTGAATCAGCTGCAGCTGTCTGATGGATTTCTTAGGGAGCCCTGTAAGGACACTGTTACAGTAGTCGAGTCGACTGAAGATAAATGCATGGATAAGCTTTTCCAGGTCCTGCTGAGACATAAGTCCTTTAATCCTTGATATATTCTTAAGGGGATAGTAGGCTGACTTTGTAATTGTCTTAATGTGGCTCCTCAAATTCAGGTTTGAGTCCATGACCACACCAAGATTTCTGGCTTGATTTGTGGTTCTTAACATTACAGATTGAAGTCGAGCGCTGACTTTCAATCGTTCCTCCCTGGCTCCAAAAACAATAACTTCAGTTTTATCCTTGTTTAATTGAAGAAAATTCTGGCACATCCAATCGTTGACCTGCTCAATACAGTTACTCAGAGCCTGTATGGGATCATAGTCCCCTGGTGAAATGGTTATGTAAATCTGTGTGTCATCTGCATAATTATGCTAACATATTTTGTTGTTTTTCATAATCTGAGCCAGTGGAAGCATGTAAATGTTAAACAAAAGAGGTCCCAGAATGGAGCCTTGGGGAACTCCACATGTCATTTTTGTCAGCTCAGATGTGTGATTACCTATAGACACAAAGTAGTCCCTGTCCTTTAGGTAGGATTCAAACCAGTTTAGTACTGTGCCAGAAAGTCCAACCCAGTTTTCAAGTCTGTCTAGTAATATGTTGTGGTCGACCGTGTCGAATGCAGCACTGAGATCCAATAATACTAAGACTGACATTCTGCCACTGTCAGTGTTTAAATGGATGTCATTGAAGACCTTAACAAGAGCCGTCTCAGTGCTGTGGTGTGGTCAAAAACCTGACTGGAAGACATCAAAACAGTTATTTAGTGCCAAGAAAGCACTAAGCTGTTGAAAAACAGCCTTTTCAATGATTTTACTTAAAAATATGGGCTATAGTGGGCTATAATTGCTCATTAGTGAACTGTCTAGATTGCTCTTTTTTAAGATTGGCTTAATGGCTGCAGTTTTCAGGGCCTGTGGGAAAAAACCTGAGAGGAGAGACATGTTGACAATTTGTAGTAAATCTGAGGCCAAGCATTTAGAAACATTTTTGGAAAAAACCTGTTGGCAGAATATCAAGGCAGCATGAGGAGGATTTCAGATTATGTCCTCCAGGTTTTTATGGTTAATAGAATCAAATTGTCTCATGCTATATGAATTGTTTTTAAGTGGACACAGGGTCAAGACATATCCTGTTACTGACATGGAGGCACTGATTGCTTGTCTAATTGTTTGAATTTTGTCTGTGAAGAAGGAGGCAAATTCATTGCAGGCCCTGGTAGATAGAAGTTCAGAGGCTACAGACACAGGAGGGTTGGTTAGCCTGTCGACAGTAGCAAACAGGACACGTGCATTATTAGTGTTGTGGTACTCAAGACCGGTCTTGGTCTTAAGAACATTTTTTGATGGTCTTGGTCTCGTCTTGGACTTGACCGCATTTGTATTTGGTCTTGTCTCGGTCTCGGACATTGAGGACTCGGGATTTTATTTCAAGACCAGTCAAGACCATAACTTTTGGAATATCAATAATTTTCTTTTGCATTGTCTGATTTGTTAACATACTAACTTTGATTGGAAGTAAAACGTATTGCTTCAAATGGAACCAATAACCCTAATTAACGACTGTCACCCCTCTCCACGATACTTACGTTGATTTCAGCTCTTAGTGTTTGTATGTGGGTGTTTTAATGGGAATGTGGATTTTTCAGATCAATTTGAGAACTACCTATGATCTCGTTCCACATTTTATTGCGTGCCATGGAATGCAGGGAACTGGTCTTGGTCTCGACTGCTCTCAGCCCTTAAAATCTTGGTCTTGACTTGGTCTCGGTTTGGGCGGACTTGACTACAACACTACCTCAAGGTAGAGACACTTTCTGGGGGTTAAGACTTGGTTTTATAGTCCAGATTGCAATCAAGGTCTCGGGAGACTGTGGGTGAGTCTGAAGATGCCCATGTGTGTTGTTTGTACAACCACGTTATTAACGTTTGTTGTGGCTGAGCCCTCTAGTGGCCTACAACGTTAGCAAAGGAGGATGTTGGGGGACAAATTATAAACAGCGATTAAGTCCAAGTAAGGAAGTTGGATGGATGGGTCAAGCCCTGGACTTTCACTCTGGAGAACAGCGTTCAGGGCCCATGTGAAAACAAAATGTTATGTTATTTTGGGTTTTAACTTAGATAACGTTATTGTCTTCTGTTACTTTACATAATTTACTTACTTTAACCCAAAGGACAAAGTTTTCCTAAACCTAACAGAGTAGTTTTATTGCCTAAACCTACCCAAACTGTGACCGTTTCACAGTTTCCCAGAGAGAGGCAGGTTTCATAACGTCGCTGGACTGCAACGGGAAACGCTCATATATGTCATTTTTGGAGGCCATGGATAAACAACCTAATATGTTGTTTGGGTAGCAGGACAGGTTAGTTTAGGGGTAAGATTGGGATGGTAGACGTTAGGGTAAGGGGCTAGGGAATGAATTATGTCAATAAGGTGTCCCCACGGGGATAGTGGACAAACACAGCAGGGAATGGGACCACGTTGTCCAAATGCTGTTCATCGTCGGAAAATTTATATGCAGAAAGAAAGCAAACTGTTGTTTATTATACTTTGTGGCATTCAGAGAGCAGTTAATATATTCCGATTTATTCTAATTCACCTGCCTCATTTTCAAATTATGTCAAAATTAACTTTCC